TTTCATGTCTCGAAAGCAGTGGCGTAGCTAGGGTGGGGCAAGGGGGGACATCTGTCCCCGGGCGCAGCATCCAAGGGGCGCCAAATTGATGCTACCAATTTTTTTAATGAAATGTTTTCTGTTCTTGGCACACAGAAAGGAGCGCAAATTTTCAGTTGTTCCCCGGGCTCTGGAAACTCTAGCTACGCCCCTGCTCGAAAGCGCGATTTAGGATATCTATTAGATATATATATAGCATTTCCCTAATATAGGTATTTTGACACAAAATCGGACTTTTTCTGAAATGATTTGCCGCGAGTAGTTTTTAAAAAATTAGCTCTCACAATTTCAGCTCCTCAATGTTGATTGAATTTGGTATACATTTATTAATCTCTCTTTTTTTTATTACACTTATTTTATTCTTCCTTTCACATTTCTAAATTTAAGTTCATTCCAAATAAAATTCACCCATATTTTATGATTTATTTTTCAAATTTGTATTTTTAAATAATTTTTATAAATTTTTCGAAATTTTTTTTTTTAAATATGATCTATGAAACTTTTAACATCATCTTAAAGTAGATTTATTTCTAGGCATACCTGCAAAAAATTAGAGTTTTTTTATTCAAAATTTTCAAAGATATACGTCAAATATAAGCGATAATAAAGCCAAATGTGGTTTAATGAGTCTCAGAATCGAAATATGGACAGTTCAGAAAAGGTCCGGTTTTATGTCAAAATACGTACGTTAGAATAATGCTATATATAAATCTAATATATATCCTAAGTCGCGCTTTCGAGACATGAAAAACGCATTTTAAATTTCCTCAATCGGCCCAGGAGAACGGGAGATATAGAAATGTTCCACCATTGTTTTACCGCCGTGTACGTGAGAAAATACGAAGCTTTTATCAAAATCTTCAAGAATCGCATGAGAAATGCTAATTAATTTATTACGGGAGAATATATTCATAAGAAAATATGAGGATGAAAGAGAATCAGTACATGAAATGGAAAACTTAAGAATTTTTAGTTCGAAATTTGTATTAAATTTATTAAGGATTCTAAGTTCAGAATCTTCTTATTAATCCTTCAAATATTCGGTAAGATTACTGATATCACGCAGTTTTAAAATATATTTTTTATTTTGTATATTTGTTTAGCTGAATGTTATTAATTTGTACTTCTACTTTCATTCAACAGTGACAATTTCACACTAATGCTATTTGCAAGACCTTTGGTAATTTTTATTTTGAAACTATCAAACAATAAAAAGGTTATAGCCTTACGATTCCAGGCCGAACACAAAATGCTGAGATGCCGGCTCGCCACAAATAACATTTGCAGACTTAAGATTACAAACGGCTTCCTTACTTTTGGAGAAAAAGAAATTAGACTTATTATGAGACAGATATTACACATTTATCTGCATGTATATATGTATGCAAAGAGAGACAGACATAAATATATATGTATATGTTACGGTGAAACACCGAAATCTGGAGAATGTCGACTTTCACCGGTGAATGTCAACATTCACATAGTCGCTTGGTGTATGTCCGAAATATTTTCTAAATACTCTTATTTCTGACTTACACCGGTCAATGTCGACATTCACCATGTACTAATGGTGAATGTTGAACACATAAGAATATTATATTTTCTTCTCCGTAATTCGGTCGCGAAAAAACGCACTTGAGACTTAAAATAAGAACTTAAGAACGTAAGAACTTAAAACCACACTGTACATTCAAAATGAGAAAGGAAAATAACAGAAGTTAAAAACTTACTAAATTACGTGATTCAAATCTTATTTATTGCAACAACTTAAACTATTATGACACTTTGAATTGCACGAGAGGCCCTTGCTTTTTTACAACTGCATTTATTTGTGGAACACTTCCTTTTGCAATGACAGTGTGTACATATACTCCTCTCTTTTCGACCTACATCAGAGCATATCTGTGATTGTCGACATACACCGGTGAGGGTCCGAATGTACAAGAATGTAATGCAATATTCGATCTTTCACCGACGTATTTGGTGAATGTTGACATTCTCCGGTGAAAGTCGACATTCTCCAATTTCAGTCTTTCACGGTAACATATATACATATAAAGACAGGTAAATAAGTAGACCACCCCCTTTAACAAAACGGAAAGAAAAGAAAGTAAAATGAAAAGCTCACGCAACAAAAAAGTCATGCTTTGGGGGAGGGGAGTTGCCAGAAAATTTAAATAAATAAATGCCGGTCAACTTGCCGATCGACTTACTCATATGTTCATAGTTTTTCTTAGTTTCTATTTGTGAATGTTGGTTTTCATAGCTTTATTGCGATACTTAGTGAATAATTAATTATTTCATTCTTATAAAAGGCACATCTTGGTGTAAATTGCTTAAACATTTTACAGAGTGAGACTTTGGTTTGTTTTACTTAGTACACTTAATTCACTCCTGAAGATGGTTTGCCATCCGAAATATTCGTAAATGGAAATAATTTTTCTCGTAGGAATTAATATTATATGAACTAATCCGTTCCCCAGATGTACAGTAATTGCTTAACCACTTAACTGTTTCATTTTCCTGCCATATCGTGACCAAAAATAAGCATATTTTGTATTCAAAACTATTACAAGTATTGCATTTATTAATTTAAGATGATTTTTAATTATGGCGAAATTAAAGCATTTTTATTTAATGTTGGCTTTTATCTGACGAAACCGCGGAACTAGCAAGAACACTTTACAGGAGATAAATGTGAAAGAAGTGAATTCGTTGTGAAAGGATTGGATTGGATTGGATTGGATTATTCAATTATGGCAAAGCACACGAGGGCTATCTGCCTAAGGGGAGGGATGCCTTCGTGGAGGACTTTCTAAGGAAACGTGGCTCGTATACACGTTACACATGGGGAAAACCACGAAAACGCCCATGCAGCCATCCCGTTCGCGGGATTCGAACCTCAGACCGAACTACCAGTGTTCAGCGTCTTTACCGCTCGGCCGCTGGTGGGCCCGTTGTGAAAGGAAATCGTGGCGGTGGTGGAGGAAAATTATTAGCATTCATTTCATAAATGTTCCGAACCTGAATTAGACCATCTGAACTTTCCGTTTCCCCATTATCTCTACGGAATTCCGATAAAGAACTTTCAGGACTACCAGAATCATTTATAGAAAATTTTGATTTGCTATCTGATTTAATATCAGAATTATACTTTTTTATGAGCCATTTAGTGTCACCTGCTGTTCTTTTATTTCGTGACAAAATTGGAAAGAAATAACTATCCGCAAATCCTAATACACTGAACACGCGCAAACAAACTCGTTAAATTTCTTCGCCTAATGAAAAGCGGGAAAATTTTTCTATGAACTGATTTTACAATCCAGTCTCTCCTGGACCACTACAGACATCTATCAGAAACACTGCAAAGTGAAAAATGTGGAAAAGGCCGGAACAAGCAGTGGATTGGTGTAGGAGAATACACAGCCCGAGTGGTACACGGGCAAATCAAAAAAGTCCCTTTTCGCGTCACCCGGACGGTTTTCGGGAAAAACAGTTAAGTGGTTAAAAAAGAATACTGTAAGCTGTATTTTAATTTTATAACAGTTATTTTAATTTTTAAATCCTTTCCTTTCAGTTCTTGTTTCCACTTACAACTCTCTACCAGAATGAGTTTTTAAAATCGCGGTGAATGTAAATGAGTTAGGAGTAGTATTTAGAGGAAGTTCAATTAACTTCGAGAGAGAGAGAGTTCTTAGGAGTCCTTAGTCTCGCATGCTTGCTTTCTGGCTATTTAATTCTTGAATCTCTTACGCTCGGCCGTATTGTATGTGCCTGTGGAGAATCGCAGCCTAGTTTAAATTAAGGGCCAACTACGTTAGATATTTGTGTCTATCTTCGGCTAGTTTAGCATTAGATTAGTTTCTTATCCTGATTTAAAAGCCCGAGTGAAGGCTTTCTTGTAAGCCCAAGAAGGGGCCAACTGTTATCATTTAATTGAGTGAATAAAAAGGTATTTTAACCCTTCTCGAGTCTACGTTGTCTCATTGAACTCAGCTATAAGTCAAGAATTGCATTTTGTGAAGTCAGAAACCGAGGAATGAGATTTTTATATATCAGTTTGGATTTACTGAGTTAATGATTCCTCCCCCCCCAGTTTTATTTTAGATCTGATTTATTCAGTTGTTTAGTGAACTGCCTACTTTGATATTATTTGGAATGGATAGGCATTTCCACTCACATTAAATTTGTTATGTTATGAGAATAATGTTCATAGATACTGCTTGTATTTCATATAAGCAGTGTTTATGAACTGCTTCATCTTTCTTAAAGTGTAAAAACTTATATTTTCTTTAAGGAGTCTTTGTTCTAGTGTAGATTGAAGTAGATTTTGGGCTGTTAACTCAAAATTTTTAACTAATAAATTTAATTAATATGACTTTAGCTTTTTAAAATGTTTCCCTTTGCGCATTACACCACTGTGCATCACATGAACTGAAACGGTTTGGAAAGTTTTGCTTCAAATTAGTACTCGATAATATTCTGAAGACTGATTCTCAAAATTTGAATATCTATGCCTAACGATCAAAACAAAATTCTAAATATCTATTTAACAGATTTTTTTTTATTATTATTATTTTCTGTTTCATTTCCATATTGTAAAATTACTACTGAATTCAGATAAGTTGATGCTAACTATAAGTAGCGATTTTTTGTATAATTGTTTCTTCAAAACTTTTTAAACGTCATGACATATTCGAATACGTTCAATGAATTCTGAGGATTTTGTGTCTATTAATTTATAATATAACGTTTAAATTCCTATGTAAATTTCATAAAATTTCTGAATTAAAAATCGTCAGTTCATAAAGCAAGTTATTTTACCTGACTTGGCTTCCTCCGTTTGTAGTTGAAATTTCTGTAGTCGTAGTTGTACTTAGAAGATGAAGTTGTGGTTGGAACTTCTGTAATAGTCGCAGCTGTTTGAAGTTGTAGTTGGAACTTCCGTAGTCTTAGTTGTACTAGTAGTTGATGAAGTTTGTGGTTGGAACTTCTGTAGTCGTAGTTGTACTAGCAGCTGATGAAGTTGTGGTTGGAACTTCTTTAGTCTTAGTTGTACCAGTAGCTGATGAAGTTGTGGTTGGAACTTCTGTAGTCGTAGTTGTACTAGCAGCTGATGAAGTTTTTGTAGTTGGAACTTCTGTAGTCGTAGTTGTATTAGCAGCTGATGAAGTTGTGGTTGGAACTTCTGTAGTCGCAGTTGTACTAGCAGCTGATGAAGTTGTGGTTGAAACTTCTTTAGTCTTAGTTGTACCAATAGCTGATGAAGTTGTGGTTGGAACTTCTGTAGTCGTAGTTGTACTAGCAGCTGATGAAGTTGTGGTTGGAACTTCTGTAGTCGTAGTTGTATTAGCAGCTGATGAAGTTGTGGTTGGAACTTCTGTAGTCGCAGTTGTAGACGCAACTGTTGAAGTTGTGGTTGGTTTGGCTGATGTGGTAGTGACAACTGATTCTGAAACTGAGGTAGTTTTCGGTTTAATAGTTGTAGTAGTTGTTGATTCTAACGTTTTAGAAGCAGTAGTCAGTTCCAAAACTGTAGAAATAGTAGTGGGATCAGCCGTAAACGTTGTCGTTGATTCAGACGTTGTAGAAGCAGTTAGGTTCTGAATTTGTAGTAGTAGTTGTCTTTGTTGTTGTCGGCTCCGAAGTAGTTGTAGTTGTGTTCCCCGTTGGTTCAACGATAGTTGTAGTTGACACTGGGATAGCAAGTTGTGGTGGATGTTAAAAGTGGTGGTTATAGTTGTAGTAGGCGATTTTTTGTAGTAGATTTTATTGTTGTAAATATCACGGCTTCAGTGGTAGTCGTCGTCATTGGTTTTGTTTTCTAAAGAAGTTATTACACATACTTGCATATAATTTATAATGTGCAGTATGAACTTGAAAAGTCAAAAACAGTATTTTAAAGTAATAAATTAAATATATTCGAAAAAAATATTCTAACACATTAACATTTGTTGAAAAGTGCAGAAATTAATAGCAACAACATTTTGAGATTATTATTAGTATTAAAAATAATAAAAGCAACGTCTTTAAAAGTGCAGTTTATTACAATGCTAGCCGAAAAGTATTACTAATTTAATTATTTGCAAAGAGGTAACAGAATTCTAAACCCTTATTTTTGTCCTTAATTATAAATTAAGGACAAAAATAAAGACATGGAGAAGGAATTTTATTTTAGAACAGGTTGTCTAATAATTTTAAAAAAGAATATCAGACATGTCAGTTGCATTTACACTATGCATATTTTCGGAAAAATAATAAAGGCATTGCATGTACTTACAAAACTAGCCAGCATTTATTTCGTAACTCAAAAGTAAACAATAAATTAAAACTATGTTAGCCAAAGGCTACATAGAATTAATAGCGCGGAAGTTCGCTCAAACCTATTCCGGCTTGACAAGAACTACTGCCAAGAATAACGCAATGCCAAAGACAAAATGCTATCGTAGAAATAGAACTAGTAACGTGATCTTCAGCAGGCAGAACACGCTCTGTCTAAGCGATATAAACCCTCCTTTTAAATACTATCTCTTTCTACCTCATATGAATACGCGCGAACTATATTACCATTTTGGAAGGAAAACGGAAAGGGACAATGACAGTAAAGCTACTTAATATAAAATAACACTTCAGGTAAAATAAATAAATGCCTTACAATTTTCTTTAGAAAATCTTTCTTTTTCTTTGGACACTGATCCAACGTGCCTCTAGACACTGATTTAACATGCCTTTACTTCGCGTAGATTTAACAAGCACCAACATCCATATTGCTACGTATTTTATTCTTCTGACACCAGTTGTTACTTTTTTTATTCTTCTGACACCAGTTGTTACGTTATTTTCTTCCTTCACGTTCGTACGGGGTTCGTATGGATTTGGAATGAATAATGACGACACTACTTGATGAAGTATAGAAACACACTTTATTAGCCAGTATTGTCAGGACAGCTCCAAACACGTTTTACAGTCGTCGATGAACTACTATAAACACGCTGGCACGATCAGCGACACAGCCTTCAGGTTATCAGGCTATCACGGTGGAGATAGTTTCACGGCAAAACACTAGAGTACAGCTCCCGACTCTGTTGGGTCGTTCTCGGAACTCCACGTACTCTCGAGACTCTCCACGCTACAACTCGCGATGTACTCGACTACACACAGAACACGGCTCCCGACTCTTCGGTTCAGTCGTTCCTGGAGCTCGACACGCTCTCTCGACGATGCACTAACCGCGATACACTACGAGACTCTTTCGGTGCACTCGACGACCCACTCGGCACTCGCTGACGGCTGTCAACGCGATCGACTCCGCAGGGATTGACTCTCTAGACGAGACACCAACTCGATACAAACTAACTCGCACTCTAGACGAGGCACACACTCGCCCTCTCGATAAAGCACTCTAACTGACTGCAGGGGTTATACAGCTTTCGGCTGGTGTTCGAGAACATTCTGGGTTAAACCGGTAAGAATTCGTTCGAGAAGGTTCTCCAACCGTCCACGGTACATCGCTAATTTTGTCGCCAAATGGACGATTTCTCGCCAAATGTGGCAACCCTAGAACTGCTTTGCGGGGAAGCCATCTTACCGCGCGTTTACATTTCGTAACAATATAATAATTACTATTCGAACCAAAGCCCGCTTACATTACATCTGCCTCTGTAATCCATTTCAAGGATGGGTTGAGATTATATTTTATAATTAATTTATCTTAAGAAGTAGTTTTCATTATCTTCAAATAGGACTCGAAATTAATTTTATCGCTTCCGAAGAGTAACGTAACATAAGCAATAAAAATTAATTTTTGCTCCAAAAAATTTAATTGTAGAGTCTTTAAGTTATTTTCAATCAGTAGACGCGAAAAGTAAGCAGTCCCCGCACCGGGACTCGAGCCTGGACTTCTCGAATACGCGCCGAGTGTGCCACCGTTACATTATGAACGTCCACCAACTTTTAGTTCCGGCTCCACTGTACAGTCATTAGGCTATTTTGAAGCAAACGAGTAAAATAAGCATTGCCCTCGCCGGGACTCGAACCCCGGAACTCTCGAATATATACCGAGTATGCTACCGTTACACCACAAAGGCATGCACCAAAGAGGAAGAAAATACCTTGTAAAATAATTAAATCATTTAACAAATTTCAGTTGGTGCCTGAACGAGAAGAACTATGAATAAAGTCCCATCATCTTTTTCACGCTGAAGTCGCGACTCATATTTTTAAATTACTTTGCCTTGCAACAGGAAAAAAATGTTGCTTTTCAATGTGCTACTTTATGTTGTTAAAAGGAAAATATGATGAATATTTTGCAGAAAGCATAATTTGATTTCTCTCAAAATCAAGTGCATATCAAGCGTTTCAGCTTCTTTCTCCAGGCAAAATATTTTAAAATACATGACTGGCCGAAGATGGCAGTATTACAGAAAGCAAACCGCCATTTCTGATTTCAAAATAAGCGAGTCATGCTATAAATAAAAACGTACTGCACTGAATATTATCATCTAAATTTTTGCTAAAAATAGCAGAACTTTAAAAATTATCTTAATTGTAGTCCACACTAATTAAAGAGAAATATTTTGTATTTAAATTTAATTAATTTATTTAAATAAAATTTATTTAATTAAATTCAATTTTTTCTTGTACTTAGCAGCTTTAGCGCTAATTACCTGGTTTGTTTCTCTTTTTATTATAAATTTTAAATGCAACTTTCTTATTCTAATAGTTTTGTTTTCCTTTTAATTAATTCTAATTTTAAAACTCTCTCTCTAAATATTTTAGTTTAATTAATTTAAATAGTATAATACAATAGTTCATTTTTTATTAATTAATTTAGTGAATTAATTAGCAATAAATTTTAAATTCCCAGTTTTTTAATTTTCATGGTTTTGCACTTGAGTTGCTTATGCTTCTGAATTTAAATGATATTGTAGATTAGTTCGAGAATTAAATCTTTTATATGTTTACACATTTTTTTTTTTTTTTTTTTTTGCTTTAAATTTGCTCTTTTTAATTTTGGCTTTAAATTTGCTTTTTTACTTTTATACGTGTTTGTTAAAATTTAAATTTAATTTGTTTAAATTTATATATATATATATATTTGCAACTGAAGTATAAACATACGTTACGGTGAAACACCGAAATCTGGAGAATGTCGACTTTCACCGGTGAATGTCAACATTCACATAGTCGCTTGGTGTACGTCCGAAATATTTTGCAAATACTCTTATTTCTGACTTACACCGGTCAATGTCGACATTCATCATGTTCTAATGTTGAATGTTGAACATATAAGAATATTATATTTCGTTCTCCGTAATTCATTCGCGAAAAAACGCACTTGAGACTCAGAATAAGAACTTAAGAACATTATCAGGTTCTGTGTTCCTCCTTACTTGCTTAGGGAACATTGACTGTCCTGACTCGGAACAGGGAGCTTACTAAAGCTATGTTCAATAAATTTGGGAAGTAGACAATACACACAAGAAGGCTATACGAAACCCTTTATTTTTCTCTCTTTACAATGATTTCCGGACTTCGGAATACAGAGACCAACCACTTGTGGTCTGAACGTAAGAATATAAAAAATATTAACTAACAAATCTAACTAAACTAACTTTGGTTTAATCAAACAAGTGCCTAACTCCAAGATTGGCCGGATATTAAGAAAAAGCCGTATGTAGTACAGAGAACTGCTAACACTACGATACGTTTAAAATTATCAAGAGGATTAAACCTCTCGCCTTGAAGGCAACCAGCAACCGAGTAAAACTACTATGGCAAGCGGCCTGCTTCTAGTAACTCCTTCCTCTCTCTTGCTTGGCAAAAAGCCACAACTTAAGTACTTGGCGTTAGCAAGACAAATTTGCATAAATAAGTTAAAGCTTTTAATTCTGGCCGGAAGTAGAAAATAAGAAGTGATAGTAAAGATTTAAAATAAAATAAACGTTAGTAAAACTTAGGATCCTTACATACTTCCCGCCAGAGTTAATTAGTTTGAAACTGAGGTCTAAAACGACCTTGTTGAAAACTTTTAGCTCTAGAATCTAACGCGAGGCCAAACTTTTACAAACATTTCTCACTAGAAACTAGAAATTAAAAAAAAAAGTCGTATGTAGTACAGAGAACTGCTAACACTACGATACGTTTAAAATTATCAAGAGGATTAAACCTCTCGCCTTGAAGGCAACCAGCAACCGAGTAAAACTACTATGGCAAGCGGCCTGCTTCTAGTAACTCCTTCCTCTCTCTTGTTTGGCAAAAAGCCACAACTTAAGTACTCGGCGTTAGCAAGACAAATTTGCATAAATAAGTTAAAGCTTTTAATTCTGGCCGGAAGTAGAAAATAAGAAGTGATAGTAAAGATTTAAAATAAAATAAACGTTAGTAAAACTTAGGATCCTTACAACATAAGAACTTAAAACACACAGTACATTCAAAATGAGAAAGGAAAATAATAGAAGTTATAAACTTACCAAATTATGTGATTCAAATCTTATTTACTGCAACAACTTAAACTATTATGACACTTTGAATTGCACGAGAGGCCCTTACTTTTACAACTGCATTTATTTGTGGAACGCTTCCTTTTGGAATGGTAGCGTGTACATATACTCCTCCTTTTCGATCTACACCAGAGCATATCTGTGATTGTCGACATACACCGATGAGGGTCCGAATTCACAAGAATGTAAAGAAATATTCGATCTTTCACCGACGTATTTGGTGAATGTTGACATTCTCCGGTGAAAGTCGACATTCTCCAATTTCTGTCTTTCACGGTAATGTATGTTTATACTTCAGTTGCGCTATTTGGCACGTTCTCGTATGATCGTTGATATTTTCTTGAAGAGAACCCCAAAGCTATTCCAGAACAATTTGAATTCCTTCTAGATCTTTGTAGACAATATACCATATAAGTATCTTACAAGCTTTCTAAAATCCATCTATCCTGAAGTTTGTTTTCGAACCAAAAATAATATGGAATAGAATTTCCAAACGCAGAAACTAAATATGTGTTAAGTAAAATGAGCATTATGATTTGTGAATTTTGAAATTTATGCATTTTTTAATTCTAATAAATTCCTGAATAATTTAATTTAACTACAAAGAAAGAATCAGTTCCATTAAACATACACTTCTTTTTCCTTAAAAGGAAAAATAAATAAATGTAGAGCGGAATAGGAATTTTTTTAAACTATTATAACTGAAATTTCAAAATGCAGATGTTAAATAAAACGATTTAAGTCTTATAACAATACTGCAGTTTCTTATTTAAATTTATTTGTCTTCCTTCACATTGCTTCAAAATTCCAAAACTATGATGTCGGTAAAAGTTAAAATAAGATTCTTTTTGAAGGTAAAAATATAATTATTTAAGCGTGATTAGAAAAAAAAAAACTTTTAACTTACAGATCTGAAAGCTCAAAAATAATTAATAAATCTTTCAGTTTTAATGAATAACCGCATTTGCAGAATCGATTACGATAAATCGCACGTTCTTTGTATTTTGGCAAATAAAATCGGAATTCGTTTTTGTATTTTATAAGCACTCATTTATAATTTTGCAATTACTATTACATAAATAATAAAAATTTACTGTCATCTACAGTGAGTTATGAGAAGTCAAGGAATATGCTGAAATGAAGGTTCACCAACACTCTGGAAAGCAAATAAAAATTACTATTCGTGGGTATCAAATTTTGTTGCTCTGATTAATTTTTTTCCCTTCCATTTAAATATACAGTCGCCATATGGTTTCTCGTACACATGAATAAATAATTCGATGGCAAAAAATGTGTTATTTACTGCTAAAATAGGCGTATTTATTGTAAGTCGTAATTTCAAATGCGACTGAAGCAGATCTCTTTAAGCATTCGTTCTCCTTATTCAGTCACGAGATATTCGAATTTGTAAAGAGCCATACACTTGCAGCGAAATTTCGTGATAATAAACTCAAATAGATAATTTATCATTTTGATTGTTGCCCTAACATTAAAAACAACAAAGAAAAATAAACAAATAATAAGCAGAATAAACCGGCTTTTATGGAAAACAGTGATATTAGAATGGTCACTTTTGTTTCTTTTAACGAAGAAACGAGGATGAATATTTCTTATATATGCTGATGCAAGTCTAAGATATCAGAAAAGGGCACTGCGGCTGTGGCCCTCTAAGGCTGCTGCACCACTGAATTTAGTTTTTATAGAAATGATTTGAAAATGACCGAAAATTAGAAAACTATATCTGCATAGAATACCTTGGCTTAATTTTTGACTGTGTTCACTTCAATAATAAATGACTACAATTTCTGAAATTAATATCTAAACAAACTGAATTCGGTCAGATTTCATTGATTCAGTATATTATTATACTGATAAAATATTACTTGCATTTTCTAACTAGCGTTAAACATGACTTCCCTCAGACATTCGCGTCTAATACAAATTAAGAACAAGACCAGCAGCTGATAGTAAAATACAAAGTAATTCTATCTTGAATTCGTTACTTTAAATGTACTAAAAAAGTAGTGTTTGAATCAAAGTAGGAACATTTTCCAAAGTGTTTTATTATCTTCTCTCTGTACTGTAAGTGTGAATAATATGCTGAAATTATGTAACTAAATGGATACTGTTTATGAAATATCTTAAATTAATATTAAATGTTTTCTAAAAGTAAGTCTACATAATGTAAAACAATGGTCGTAATGAATTTCAAAGTTACAGTTCGTATGAAGTGCACTATAATTTATCTGCGGATTCATAAAAATTCAGCGAAAAATTAATTTATCACATTCACTTGCTTTATGGTAAATTCAGCTGAATTACAAACATTTTCGATTTTGAGTTGTTATATTTCTGAACTCGAATCTTCAGAAAACGGATTCCGATTTATCAGCATGTGGTTAAGTGTAGAACGCAATCCTGAAAATAGATTTTAGAGTATTCTCTCAGTAGGCGATCTACCTCACTTAACCTGAGTAGTTACTTTACGGATCGACAGATGGCGCCACTAAACATGTTGTTTTTGCATTGTTTTTTCCTTCCGACATTTCTTTCAAATTTGCATGATCAGATTTATTATTATCTAAATATTAATAATTCTTTATGTTTTGCAAAATATTTATTTCTTTTGCTGTGTTTTATGCTGCATATAAAAAAAGCTTTCAGTGTGCGAATAAAATGGTGTTTTTAGTTAGATTACCTGGTTTAATTATTTCAATTAAATTACTCTATATTAATATAACTAAAAGTGAGCCTCTGAATGTTATGGATATAGATTATATCAAGAATTTCGCACATATAGTCAATAAAAGAGATAAGAGGCAAAACAAAATACACTCAATTTTGAACTGCTATATTTAATTGTTTCAAAACCTATTTGCAAAAAATTTGTTGTATTCAGAGAATTAAAAAAAAAAAGAGAGAAAATGAATTTAAAGATAAATTAAACACTGTTACCCCTTAAGATAACAGATATTTTATTTGCTTCTAATTCCAACTCTACTTTTACAAACAAGTCTGAAAAAGAGGTGCTGCCATCTGGTATAAAACTGATTAACTAACTAACCAAATTTGGTAGATCGCCAGTTGGGACAACACCGATTTTAGTATAAATAATGTGTTATAGACAAAAATATGACTAAGAATACTTCATTAGTTTTCATGCGCAGTTCTTAAAACTGATTAACTTATCTTATTAGAAGCCTATATTGAAAAAAAAAAAAAAAATCATTTTTCGGTCATATTTGCAGTCAAATGCTTAAAACTTTGACGCAAATCCGGCATTTTACTGTTGTTGATTGGCTTGAAAATATGTTATTACATGGATACTGTATACTTCTCCTATACATCTAAAACTGATATAATGATTTACAGTATAAACTTGTATGGATCAGATCCCTGCTTATATAGTAACTATAATGAATGCTTCTTAAACTGAAATAAAAGATGTCTCTCATGTTTAACAAAAAAAAGAGTATAACTTTGCCTTAGAAAGTTTTTCACGAATGTATCATTTCTAGTCCTTTACATTCTCTGCAGTAATTATTAATAATTATCCTTACGTTGGTATCTTTCTTGAATTTGTGAAATATTCCTTTTTGAAATCATTTGGCGGATATATAAATGATATGTGCGTTTTGATCAATGTCGAGAAAATAAAGAACACAGTCTCCGAATGATTCCGAGGTACTTCATCCTTTTTCCTTCAGAATGAAGCTGGTTAGAAAAGAAAATCCGTTTCATACTTAATAAAATGTACGTTA